TTGTGCTGTCTTGTTTAAATCACTTTTTTAATCACAATAAAGATATCGAATTGTTCGACAGCATCAAACACATTTTCGAACGAGATAATCGGCTAATAACTCAAAACGCGGTCAGCCGCAAATATAACGGTACACTCACGTTTTCAGGATCCTTATTGAGGCAGGCTTCGACAAATTCCTTGAACTGTTTCGTATAATTCCCTGTCAGTTGCGGCGGATTGTTCTTGGGTATTAGGAAGAGGACCCTCATGGGATGCAGCTCGCTGTTGGGAGGTTCTCCTTTCGCGAGCTCAATCGCCGTGATGCCCAGAGACCAAATGTCAGCCTGTGGAATAATCACTCGCGGAGTTACTACTACTGGTAGCCAGATGAAGCGCTAACGATATGCTAATGAAAACATGACCGCGCCACTTTTCCAAAATGACAAATAAAATGAGCGCTTCGAAAAAAGATGAAGAATAAAAAAGCAAAGCACAGTGAGCATTAAATTTAAGTCTAATTAATAAAGAGTTAGTTTCATATTTCATAAAAAAATTGATAGTAACATTATACCAATAATCTTTTAAAATATGAATAAAGATATTTATTTCTTCAGAAATAGTGTTCGCGTTATATATTCTTTTTTAATTTTCGACAATATATGATTTATAATTTATAGTTAACGCAATTACCTTGGAATCGTAAGCGGACTGTTTGATAACCTCGGGTGCCATCCAGAATGGCGTGCCGACGAAAGTGTTTCGTTTGCTGGTGGTGTTTGTCAACTGGCCGGCTACGCCGAAATCGGCCAACTTGACGTCGCCCATTTCGCTCAGTAACACATTTGCCGCTATAAAATTGAAAAAAGATCGTCAATTAATCTCTTATTTATAAAATAACGTAAAAATTAATAAAGTAAATTATACGTTATACACTCAAGACAAAAGCAAATTTTATTTTCCATGTAAATTTATCATAAAGAAAAATTATTAATAAAGGACTAACATCTTCTTTTTGATAGAGAGAAAAGAGTCTAGCATCACAGTTAATTTTCTGCGGAATTTAGTTGGATGAAACTTTATAATTAGCATGATTATTTTTAGTGTCTTACTAAAAATTATCTTCTACGAAATCTCTTGGCACCGAGCGTTAAAGTGT